AGGCCCACTTCTCCCGTTTGAGTCTGGGTCCCCAGAGACTTGCCTGGAACTGGAGCTCAGAGCCTGAGACTTCCTCCGGATTGAAACAGACAACCGCACCCTCAGCCACCAGCCCGCTCCGCATGCACTCCGCACCTTTGTATTTTACTTCCGCACTGCGCCTCCTCTGAGTCTCAGTGTTTTTCTCTTTCCTCCTAGTTGTAGATCTTCCACTTAGCCAGCCTTCCTGTGGTTCTGGATGATGTCCGTTCCGTCTTTTAGTTGTATTTTTGAAGTGGTTGTTCGAGGCAGCAAACTCCAGTGTTTACCTATGCCACCATCTTGGTTTCTCCTCTGTTTATTTATTTTAAAATTTCTTTTTATTGCTGAAAGTATTACAGGTGTCTGCTTTGTGTACCCCCCCATTGACCTCCTCCTCCCCATACTCACCCCTCCCAAGCCTTTACCACACTAGTGTCTGTGTACATGAGCTATGCATGTATGCATATCAATTCCCCAATTAATCCTTACCCCCCACACACACACACACTATCCACCCCCACCTCTCCTCTGAAATTCATCAGTCTATGCATGGTTTTGTCTCTGCATCTATTTTGTTGGTCAGTTTATTTTGTTCATTAGATTCTACATAGAGTAGGTCATGTGATACCTTTTTCTGACTGGCTTATTTCGCTTAGCATAATACTCTCCAGGTCCATCCATACTGTTGCAAATGGAAAGAGTTCCTTCATTTTCACTCCCATGTAGTATTCCATTGTGTAAATGTACCACAGGTTTGTTATCCACTCATCAGCTAATGGGCACTTGGGCTGTTTCTAAATCTTAACTATTGTAAATTTTGCTGCTATGAACATAGGGGTGCATATATTCTTTCTGATTGGTGTTTCTGGTTTCTTAGGATATATTCCTAGAAGTGGGATCACTGGGTCAAACAGGAATCTCCATAATGTTTTACACAGTGGCTGCACCCACCAGCCTGCGTTCCCACCAGCAGTGTACTAGGTTTTCCTTTTCTCCATATTCTTGCCAACACATTGGTTGTTGATTTGTTGATGACAGCCATTCTGTCAGGTGTGAGGTGAGTCCTAATTGTTGTTTTAATTTGCATGTCTCAGATGATTAGTGACTTAGAGCATTTTTTTATATATCTCTTGGCCTTCTCTATGTCCACTTTGGAGACGTGTCTATTTAGGTCCTTTGCCCATTTTTTAAACATGCTAATATATATTTTTAAATAATTCGTTATTGTTGAAAGTATTACATATGTCCCTTTTTTCCCTGTTAACACCCACTAGCCCGTCCCCCACTTTCACCCCAGGCTCTCACCACCCCATTGTCTAGGTCCATGGGCCATTCATTTATGTATATAAGGTCCTTGGTTAATTACCTTCCACCCACACTCTCCACCTTCCCTCTGAGATTCCACTCTCCGTTCCATGCTTCCATGTCTCTGGATCCACTCCATTGATTAGTTTATTTTGTTACTTAGATTCCACATATGAGTGAGATCATGTGATACTTGTCTTTCTCTGACTGACTTATTTCACTTTGCATGATACTCTCCAGGTTCCTCCATGCTGTCTCAAAGGGTAAAAGATTCTTTTTTTTTTTACTGCTGCATAGTATTCAATTGGATAAATGTATCATATCCAGTCATCTGCTGATGTGCACTTGGGTTGTTTCCAGATCTTAGTTATTGTAAATTGTGCTGCTATGAACATAGGGGTGAATACATTCTTTCTGATTGGTGTTTCAGGTTTGTTAGGATACATTCCTCGAAATGGAATCACTGGGTCAAATGGCAGTTCCATATTTTTTTGAGGAAAATCCATAGTTTTCCATAATGGCTGCACCAGCCTACATTCCCACCACTGGTGTACTAGGGTCCACTTTTCTCCACATCCTCGCTAGCACTTGTTTGTTGCCCTGTGGCTGCTGGGAGCAGGTAGCTCCTCTCTGAAAAAATGGCCATTTCGGTTTGTATGCATCGAACGACCAAATATAGGATTCCTGACTACTGCTTTTCCATGTCTCCCTGCACTGCTTCCCATGCCAGCCTCTCTGTAGGCACCTCAGTCTGTTCCTCCCTCCCTGCACCAAAGCCTCAGGTGAGTAGTTGCAAATGAAAACTCATATGCTTTGGGTTTAGCAAAAAACAAATTGCGGCTTTCTCTCCAACTGACTACCGTCCTCCAGGCTCCGCAGTGGCCAGTAGGTCTGCCACCTTTCACAGATGTATGTTACGTGGGCCGCAGGTCTCGGCTCCGGTGTCGAGCCTGGGTTCTGGGCCTCTGTCTTCAGAGGGAACAGACCCTCCTGTGGCCCAGCACTCCCTCCTCTCTGGGCCTGCTGCCCCTGGGAGCTGGGTCAGCTCCTCTCCTGACCTGGCCCTTCCTACAGGTTTCCAGGTGCTTTCTGTCCTTCTTTGATATAAGTCTCTTCCTTAGCTGGACCTCAGTTGGTAATTCCAGGTGAACGTTCTCCAATTTGGTTGTATTTCCAGTCTGGCCCTGGGATAAGGTGCAGGACACGTTGCCTATTTGGCTGCCATTTTCCTCTCTTAGCTTTTTATTCTTAACTAAAACTTTGTTATATATATGTACACAGGCTATAAGAAAATCAATAGTCCCTTTAGAGCATGGGTTCTGCATTATCAAACCTGCAATTGGGACCATATACCCATTATCAAAGGCTGCAAGAAGAGTGAAAGCAACCAGGTGAAGCTTTTTAAGGGGCAGTATAATAAAGATAATTAGTTATTAAAACCAAAGTCTATCATAAACAGCTCAATTTTATATTAGGAAGCAACTAGCTGTTATATTTGTAAATTAACATACATTTTATTTTTTTGTTTTTGTTGTTAATCCTCACCCAAGGATATTTTTTCCATTGATGTTTTTAGAGAGAGTGGAAGGACACTCACCTGCTCAGGTTGTGGCCTTGATCCCCAATAGGGATCAGCAGGAGGCAGCTGATCAACGTTGCTCTCATACTGATGGCTCTCCTTCTTTCCCTCTCTCTCTTAAAAATAAATCTTTAAAATTCTCTATGGGTTTGAACATTTTTATGTTGACACTATTACTCAGCAATACAAAGCTATTACATGCATGAAACTCAAAATTACGCTAAGTGAAAGAAGCCACTTGCAAATATCATATGATTCTATTTGTCTGAAATGTCCAGAATATGGTAATTTATAGGATAGAGGGTAGATTAATGGTTGTGTAGGGTGGAGTGGGGAGTAGGGATATGGGGAATGACTTCTAAGGCATATGAAATTTCATTTTGGCCCGATGAAAAATTCCCAAATTTAGATTATATTGACATCTTCATAACTCTATAACATACTACCCATATTTGATGTTTATATATTAATCATTGAATTTTGTCATATGTAAAACATATATTATTAGAGGCCTGGTGCACGAATTCATGCATGGGTGGTGTCCCTTGGCCTGGCTGGGGATTGGGGCCAATGGGAGCCCTCTCTACCAGTTCTGATCAGGGCAGTGCTGTCTGGGGGAGGAACCACAGGAGGTTGGCTGGCCATGGAAGGTTGGCTGTAGGAGTGTACTGACCACTAGGGGGCAGCTCCTGCATTTAGTGTCTGCCCCTTGATGATCAGTGTGCATCATAGTGACCAGCTGACTGGTCATTGGGTCAACTGGTCATAACAGTTGCTTAGGCTTTTATATATATAGATTGTAAAATATGTTAAAATAATGAAAATAAAAATCATTTAATCATTTTTTTTTTAAGTAGAAAGTTATTGTCAATGTAAGAACATTCAAACCCGTAGAGAATTTTTATGAGTTTATTTGAACCAAACTAATGATTAATGCTGGGAGGAAGATAACAAATGCCCCTAAGAATATCAGTTTTTCAGCTTCTTTTATGCATTTGAGGTTAAGGGGAAAGCAAAGTAAGATTACATGAAGTTGGAGGAAGCAAAGCAGGGATTGGATTATAGGATACAGTTAATAAGATTTTGTGCTCTCTTGAGAGTTAATGTCCTCCCCCTTCTTTTTAAATATATTTTTATTGATTTCAGAGAAGATGGGAGAGGGAGAGAGATAGAAACATCAATGACAAGAGAGAATCATCTATCAGCTGCCTCCTGCATGTCCCCCACTGGGGACCAAGCTCACAACTGCAACCTGGGCATGTGCCTCACTGGGAATTGAAATGTGATTTCCTGGTTCACAAGTCAATGCTCAACCACTGAGCCACCCCAGCCAGGCAGTGCCGCTTTTGAGGGGTATTATTTCTGGTATTTGAAAGGAGTATTACCCTAGATGCACAAGCTCAATGGGCAGGGCAGGTGTAAACACTTTCAGTAAATAAGTTACAGGCCTGGAGCATGCCTACTCATCATGAGGTTCCCAGTTAGGAATTTATGATCAGATCACCCTGTGAGGTACTTTCCATGGAACCTCCTTTTTTGTCCACAAGATTTATACTTTCAGAAATTTTTTTGCACTAAATTGAAATATTTTATGCAACTTCTTGAATTCTTCATTCTTTCATTCTATGGGCTCTATTACATTTTAAAAAACGTGTCCTTGTAGTGACCAATATAACTTTGGGTAACTTGTGTAGAAAATTGTTGCAGTACTTGGTTACCTGTTCAATCAGGTTAAATGCAACTTTGAAATTAATGTCTGGTTAAAAATAAAAGCAGATTTAAGATTGGTAAAATCATGTTAATAATTTTAAAATTAATCTCTCAATATGGGATGAAAATTGTACTCTTTATAGATAAAATAATCTATAAATACAATTAAAATTGTGGTACTCACGATGGGTCATTAATGAATGTTTTCAATGCATTGAGTAAATCTGCACTAGACATGGTGTTGAAGTCCAATATGATAGCTGTTCCCTTGGTCTTCATGGGAGCAATGTTATCAGGTTGATCCACAAACATAGGGATGCCCACCATAGGGATCCCATGGTAGATCGCCTCATAGATGCCATTGGTTCCACCATGAGTTATAAAGGCTTTGGTTTTTGGATGACCTAGGATTGGGTGAATTTCAGTAAATTATTAATTATAAGTCTTAGAAATAAAATGAGAGTTGGGCAAGAAAAGCACTCAGGCACTGTATTCTAGATGACAGATTATTATACACATGAAACTACATTAAAATATATTTTAGATCTAAGAGAAGAAGAACTTTAGTTGCTGAAGAGGTAAATAGATACTGGTATGGCATTGTGACTGAAAATGGAGTCACTGGTAATAAAGGAGGTGTTCTTATTTTTTAATGGCAGTGAATGAATAGCCATACAGAAGCGTAAAAAATAGAAATAAGAAGGGAGAAGTAGGAGGCAGAGTGGTAGTTATTGAAAAATTCTTCATGAGAAGTAATTACACCTGAAATAAAGATACTTGATTTCAGACATAAGGAAGGAGATGGTCTATAATAAAATGTTAGCTTTTATATGTTCTCCTTTTTTCCCAGGACTGGCAAACAAATACAAGGGAATTAAGGGTTTCTTTTTTTTGAGTTTTTGTAAATAAAGGTTCAATAAAGGTTCAATACTTTTTGAAGTATTATCATTGTCTTTGGAGTTATTGTTATTTTAGTGTTTGTTTTTCAGTCTCACCAAGAAGGTCATTCTGGGGGATCCACTTATAGAGCCGAGTATTTGGCCCTAAGGTATCTGGTTTCTTGCCTTCAAATCTCCATAGAACCTGTTAAAATAAAGAAAATATTTTATTCCATGAGTTGAACTAAAGGTATAGCAAGTTCAGATTATAAAGAAATTAAGAGATAATCTAGTTAAAGCCCTTCATAGACAGATAAGAAATAAGGACAAGAGATTAAAAATGAAAACTATTATAACACTGGTATGATAGAAATACCCACATTTTATGTATTTATTTTTACATTCAATCAAGTATGAATGCAATCATGATGGCCAACACATACAGGTATACTAATGAGATTATCAATGATGAATTGAAATCTTAGTCCTGGCCAGCATGGCTCAGTGATTGAGCATGGACCCATGAACCAGGAGGTCACAGTTTAATTCCCAGTCAGGGCACATGCCTGGGGTTGTGGGTATGTGGAAGGCAGCCTATCAATGATTCTCTCTCATCATTGATGTTTCTATCTCTCTCTCTCCCTCTCCCTTCATATCTGAAATCAATAAAAATGTATTTTTAGTTCTAGTCATTTTAGTTCTAGTGCAAAAAAGTAGGTATTTATTACACATCCTATATAATAAAACCCTAATATGCAAATTTCCCAAATGGTGGAACAACTGGTGGAACAACTGGTTGCTATGATGTACACTGACCACCACAGGGCAGACACTCATTGCAGGAGCTGCCCCTTGGTGGTCAGTGCACTCCCACAGGGGGAGTGCTGCTCAGCCAGGAGCTGGGATCATGGCTGGCCACTGCATACTGGTGGCAGAGCCACTTCTGCCCCCACAGCCATGCTAAGGAGCAGCTAGCTGAGCGGTAAGGAGTGTCATGCACGTGGGAAGTAAGGAGTGAGAGGTCCTGGATTGCGAGAATAGTGGCCCTAACCTGGTAGTCGTACACTCCCCATGGGCTCCCAGACTGCAAGAGCACACAGGCCAGGCTGAGGGACCTCCTCACACTGCAGGAATTTCATGCACTGACCCTCTAATTTATTTAAAATTTCTTTCATTTTGCAATGTAATATTACCCTTTATTTTTAAGTATTACAGAAGGGAGTTTTCTTATATCCACTTGTCTCATAAGTTATTTTTTTACATCAAAGATTTACCTTTATTTTCACATTTTTCTCTTTTATTTATTTATTTTTTTATTTTTTATTTTTTTAAAATATATTTCATTGATTTTTTACAGAGAGGAATGGAGAGGGATAGAGAGTTAGAAACATTGATGACAGAGAAACATTGACCAGCTGCCTCCTGCACACCCCCTACTGGGGATGTGCCCACAACCAAGGC